AAAAAAAAAAAAAAAAAAGCTGAAAACCCAAACCCAAAACCCGGGAAATCTCCCCCAGAGCGCAGGCGAGCCCCAGCCGTTTGTAAGGCTCCAAGCTCAGCCCCCCAGAGCCCGGCTCCGGGGGTGACTGGTGGCCAGGCTGGGGTGGGTGGGGTGCGAGGCCTCGCTCGGATGCTGCGGGAGCATCCTCAGCCACCCCCGACCCTCGGGACCTGCTGCTGTCCCCTCCGTCCCTCTGCGGCCCGCAGCTTGCCGTCGGCCCCAGGAAGGTATCTGAAGGGTCTTCTCAGGTCAGAACTTTGTCCCGTCTGTGCTGCGGGGCTCTCCAGGGGATCCCTTTTCCCAGGTATGAGGGAAGAACCTCGGGCTGAGCGGGCCGCAGGGGGCTGGGGGCGAGAGCGGGCAGCGCTGCGCTTGTAGCAGTGGGGCTGCCGAATACTGTGCCGCTGGCTCCGGGCATTGCCCTGAAATCGGGTGGGGTTTGTCTGAGGGAACCACTTGTTGCCTCTGTTTACACTGGCCAGCAGCTCTGCGCTGTCAAAACCTTCTGCGGAGCCGCAGGGCGGGCGCTAACGCCTTTCTGTCCCCGCTGCCCACACCGCAAGTTTTGCTGCTTCCATCTGTCCCCCGGGCTGGCCACCTCTGGCCACCGGAGAGTATCGGGGTGCGCCTCGTGCGGTCCTTCTCGTCAGGGGGATTCCAGGCCGCGTGCTCCAGGCCGGCTCGGGAGGTGGGTCAGGGTGCTGTGGTGGGAACGTGGTGGGAACGGCCTTCAGTAGCGCTCTCCTGAGCCAGGAGGCAGATGGATGGCTCTGGGCGGAACTGGGGCTCATAGGCTGCACCTCATGCCAGTCTCTGTTTGCCAGAGACCAGGACAAGGGTGTTTGCTGCTTTTTTTACAGGACACAAGACCCTTCAGTGCAGGCAAGACACAAGAAGGGTTCCACAGAATCATTCAGGTTGGAAAAGACCCTTGGGATCACCGAGTCCAACCCGTTTCATGTCTCTGAACTCCAGTGCCTTCTCCCACCCTCCCTATTTCCTACTCGTTGGTATCCCCGGGCTGGAGAAGGAGCAGTTCTGGATTGCCTTCCCCTTCTGCATCATGTATGCCATTGCTGTGCTGGGGAACGTCACCCTTCTCCTCATCATAAAGACAGAGCCGAGCCTGCACGAGCCCATGTATCTCTTCCTGGCCATGTTGGCCTTCACTGACCTGGTCCTGTCCACATCCATGCTCCCCAAAATGCTTGGCATCTTCTGGCTGGGCTCCGGGGAGATCGGGTTTCTCTCCTGCCTCGCTCAGCTGTTCTTCATCCATACCTTCTCGTCGGTGGAGTCAGGCGTGCTCATGGCCATGGCCTTGGATCGCTACATGGCGATTTGCTGCCCGCTGCGGCACTCCAGCATCCTCTCTGTGCCGGCGGTGGTGGCCCTCGGGAGCCTGGTGCTGGTGCGCGGGGTCCTCCTGGTGAGTCCCTTCTGCTTCCTTCTCCACAGGTTGCCCTTCTGCCAGCATCACGTCATCTCCCACTCCTACTGTGAGCACATGGCCGTGGTGAAGCTGGCCTGTGGGGACACCAGAGTCAGCGTCATGTACGGCCTCTTCGCAGCTTTCATAGTGACAGGCTCTGACGTGATCCTGATCTCGGTGTCCTACACCATGATCCTGCGGGTAGTAATGAGGCTGTCGTCCAGAGAGGCACAACTTAAATCCTTCAGCACCTGTACGTCCCACATCTGTGTCATCCTTGCGTTTTATGTCCCTGCCCTCTTCACGTTCCTCACCCACCGGTTTGGGCAGAGCATCCCTCCCCACGTCCATATAATGGTGGCGAACCTCTACCTGCTGGTGCCCCCCATGTTAAACCCCATTGTTTATGGGGTGAGAAACAAGAAGCTCTGGGACAGGGTGGTCCTCCTCTTCCAGCAGAAGGGAACCTGACCCATAGGTATGTGCTTCAAACTGTGCTCATAATTTTCTGATGATGCTGGTAAATTTAATGAGAGTTAATGCGGTGACGATTTATTTGTTCAGGGAGGGGCTCTTCCTCAGTGACTGGAGTTTGAATGCAACATTCTCGCGGAAATCACTACGCTGTCTCTTCTGTTATCACTGTCCAGGACGTTTCATCTCTTGTGTGATGAAATTTGGCATAGAGACATTCAGTCCGGCTTCTACAGCACTGGGAGTGAAACTCCTCACTGTTAAAATTCTTTCACTATTAAAAAGAATGT